TAAGACCCCTATAGTAGGCTATTATTGCAGAATTTAAAATTAAATAAGGTTTATCTGCCTTAATGGCATAATTACTGCTTTAACTAAGTAGTATTAATGCCAGCTCTTAGCAGCTAGGTTAACCTTCTTCCTTTATCCTACCTAAAGGACTAGTCTTTAAATAACCTTTTAAACATACCGCGCCTAGTCTATCTATTACACTTTAAGTATATTCCCTAAACTAACTTCCTTTATACCTTCTGGTCACACTTGCTGATATTAATTATAGCCACTAATACAATGCCTATATATAATAGCCTGCAGCCTAATTAGGGCTATTATATAATTAACTATAATCTTATTGATATAATTAGACTAGTACTAAAGCAAGCTAAGGACAAAGATTATTATATATTATATAAAATAGCTAAAGCTATTAGGATAAACTTCTCTTTAAGAGGCAAATTATGCCTAATTAAAATAGTTATCTTTAAATATAGCCTAATTAGCTTAATTAGTTATATAAATTTAAATTACCTAGGTAATATAATATCTTTAACTTGGTTAGCTAGAGAGCTATTTAAATTAAAAAAGCTAGAAGAAGCCTTATAATAAGGCTAGTCTCTTAAGGTAAAAGAGGTAGCTTTTCTTATTATATTTATAGGCCTAAACTTAGCCTAATATAAAGAGTAGCTTAAGAATATAATTATTAAGGCCAAATAAGTACTTTATATCCTCCCTCTTATATAGAAGTAAGGGCAGGGAGTTCATATATAATATTCTAAGATAAACGCAGGGTAAAGGCAGGGTTCTATAGAAATTCTATTAAAGTCAGAATATATTAAAGGAATTAGGTTAACTTTTATATAAGTTAGTTGGCAAAAGTTAAATTAACCTAAACTTATAACTTTATTAGTTAAATATATATAATATGGCATATAACTAATTGACCTTATATATAAGAATAGATTTAGTAAAACTAGTAAAAAAGCAGTGGTTTAAACTGGGTTAAGATTACTTTAATAAATAATTATTTTAGTTTTATTATAATAGTTAGGGTTTTAAACACAGAAACTAAACTATACTAAGTTTATATTTATAAAAGTATAAGGTATTATATTAAGCTTATTAGGTTATTATATCTCTTAATAATTAAGTAATATATATTAAGAGTTATTAATATAAAAAAGTCTTACTAATAGCTAATAAGCTAAGTTTTATCTAAGTGCTAATAAATATATATATATATTAAGTTATATATAAGTTAAGTAAGATTAATTTAACTTTATTTATTTTCCTTTATTTTATAAGTTAAATAATATATATTTAACTTATTATAAGATAGGTAGATTTTTACTAGTAGAAAATAATAAGGCACTTATCTTATATATATTATAATATATTAAGTTATAATACTTATAAACCTCTTAATTCTTAGGTAATATATTATTAAATTACTTTATATAGTATTTATTATATTTTATACTTAAGCTACTTATATAAGGCTTATTATTTACTTTCTCTTAGTAATTACTAATCTTAGGTTATTATAACTCTTTAATATATAAAATTATAAACTAGCTTAAATTACTTAATTAGGCTAGCTTATATACCCTCTTAGTAATTATTTTTATAATATAAGCTTATTAAAAGAAATCCTAGTTATTAAGGCTTTTTAAAA